GCTATTCTGCTGGGAATTATTCTTAAATACATTAGTCTTTGGACTTTACCATCATAAAAACATCTTATATAAATTAACTTAATTATCAATATTAAAGTAGAGTAAATGTGACCCTTCTATCACTTTCTGACATGTGGACAATGTAAGCCAGGCGTCAGAGGGAGGAAGGAGGGCAGCCATTGTTGTTTATACTAGACCAGAGGCTCACACGGGAGCAAATTCGGCTCCTGTTAAATTTACTTGGACGTAGTGTTATGGAAACCAAAGGTGTACCATTGTCAACACGCTGTCTACAAATCAAGTTAAGTGTCTATCCGAAACCCGTTTATCATTCATTTATGGCCATTAATGTCATTGGGTAGGGTTAGCCGGTTAGAACGCGAAATCGCCTCATACTAAAGGTAATTAAGCCAGGTCTTTAATGTTCCATGTACTGTATAGTGTTTTCTCTGATATAGCTTGTCATATATAGGTTTCTGGCTTCACAGCTAGCGCACTTTTGACAGGTCAAGACGAGGATGCAAGATTTTGTGCACCAGTTACTGGGTGATATGAAGCTACCTCAAAGAGGATAATTTGGTGTCTACACCCTAGTTATACCTGGTGGACTAACCTGCTGTACTATAAGATAAGGAACCTCATCAATGTATGTAGCTATTACTGTAGTTTGATTGGCTGCATATATGTAATATAAACCCCCCCTAATGTGTAGAGGATCGATTTGTGAGATTATGAGATTATTGCAGAAATACAGTCCACTTATCATTATACAAATTGCTATCGAAGTATATAAATTAACGTAAATATAAATTCATATAAATTAAATAAATATAAATCTCACAGGTCGGTTCCCACATTACCTCCAACAGTGAAGCGTAATGTACGAAAGATTGAGAAAATTCGTGTTAGAATTATTAATCTTACTTTTTCGGTCATATTTAATAATATATGTCTACAGGAAAGACTGCTACCAAAATATACTAATATATATATATATATATATATATATATATATATGCACAGACTACCCTGTTCCAGTAGCTGAAGTTTATAACAAGCATTTGGCACTGAGTTTTCCCATATAACAGGGCTCGATGAAAGAGCACCGGGGGTCCCACATTATCTCATTGCCTGGGAGAGGATTGGAGTTCTGGTTGGTTAAATACCCCAGAATTCCTACCTCTCTTATGGCTTTGAAGTATGGTGTAGTGGATACAGCGTGCAACTGCCACCTTGTTGGCCAGTGTTCGAGTCCCCTGGTGGGTTGAGTGTCTAAAAAGTTATATATATATATATATATATATATATATATATATATATATATATATATATATATATATATATATATATATATATATATATATATATATATGTCGTACCTAGTAGCCAGAACGTACTTCTCAGCCTACTATGCAAGGCCTGATTTGCCTAATAAGCCAAGTTTTCCTGAATTAATATATTTTCTCTAATTTTTTTCTTATGAAATGATAAAGCTACCCATTTCATTATGTATGTGGTCAATTTTTTTTTATTGGAGTTAAAATTAACATAGATATATGACCGAACCTAACCAACCCTACCTAACCTAACCTATCTTTATAGTTTAGGTTAGGTTAGGTAGCTGAAAAAGTTAAGTTAGGTTAGGTTAGGTAGTCGAAAAAACATTAATTCATGAACACTTGGCTTATTAGGCAAATCGGGCCTTGCATAGTAGGCTGAGAAGTGCGTTCTGGCTACTAGGTACGACATATATATATATATATATATATATATATATATATATATATATATATATATATATATATATATATATATATGTCGTATCTAGTAGCCAGAACGCACTTCTCAGCCTACTATGCAAGGGCCAATTTGCCTAATAAGCCAAGTTTTCCTGAATTAATATATTTTCTTTAATTTTTTTTTTACGAAATGATAAAGCTACCCATTTCATTATGTATGAGGTCAATTCTTATTTATTGGAGTTAAAATTAACGTAGATATATGACCGAACCTAACCAACCCTACCTAACCTAACCTAACCTATCTTTATAGGTTAGGTTAGGTAGCAGAAAAAGTTAGGTTAGGTTAGGTTAGGTAGGTTAGGTAGTCGAAAAAACATTAATTCATGAAAACTTGGCTTATTAGGCAAATCGGGCCTTGCATAGTAGGTTGAGAAGTGCGTTCTGGCTACTAGGTACGACATATATATATATAATTTACACATACACATAACTACAGTATTTATATAACTATTTACATTTTTGTACACATAATGAATCACTAAGGTGGTCTGATGGGTCCCCATACACACAACATAGCATCAACATACTAGTCAGCTAATGATGCCACCTGACTCCCCATAATGCTTCCAAAATAACATGCCTATTGCTAACTCTAGGCACAATGTTGTTGTTATTATCAGCATCCTGGTCACTAAATCCTTTATTTGAATAACTTCTTCACATGTTTATTTCCTAAAAGAGCATGAGGTGGTTTCATGATGCAAAGATGAACCAAACAATGACAGAGTGCAGTAGTTCTTCATCATGCGATGAACGTCATAAACAGCATTGTGCTCACTGATATTCGAACATTATACATAATCTTTATTTAATCATGATCTTGTATGATAATATTATTGCAAAATAATCACAATTACCTATATATTTTGTCATTTTAAGTGATGCTGTGAACACAAGCTAAACAGTGGTGCAGTTATCTCATGCTGCATGTGCCAGCCTTAGTTGCTCACTCAGAACAGAGGCCTTCACACTCGGGAATGATTTCAAAATGGTGTCTGTTTACTGGAAGTCTGAGAAAGCCCACGTGAGACCCGTGCACCAGAGGGAATTTTTTAATCTTTTTGCTGTACCCTCATACAGCACATGTTGGGATGTACAATTTGGCCATAATTAGCTCTGCATTACATACAATACTAGACAAGTTGTTGCAGTGACCAGAGGATCCCACCACTAATAAGCCGGTCGGCCAAGCGGACAGCATACTGGACTTATGATCCTATGGTTCCGGGTTTGATCCCGGGCGCCGGCGAAAAGCAATGGGCAGAGTTCCTTTCACCCTATGCCCCTGTTACCTAGCAGTAAAAGAGGTACCTGGGTGTTAGTCAGCTGTCACGGGCTGCTTCCTGGGGGTAGAGGCCTGGTCGAGGACCGGGCCATGGGAGACACTAAAGCCCCAAAATTATCTCAAGATAGCCACTACATACAGTACTAGGCAAGTTGTAACACTGTGACCAGTGGATCCCACCACTACATACAGTACTAGGCAAGTTGTAACACTGTGACCAGTGGATCCCACTACTACATACAGTACTAGGCATGGTGTAACACTGTGACCAGAGGATCCCACCACTACATACAGTACTAGGCAAGTTGTAACACTGTGACCAGTGGATCCCACTACTACATACAGTACTAGGCATGGTGTAACACTGTGACCAGAGGATCCCACCACTACATACAGTACTAGGCAAGTTGTAACACTGTGACCAGAGGATCCCACCACTACATACAGTACTAGGCAAGTTGTAACACTGTGACCAGTGGATCCCACTACTACATACAGTACTAGGCAAGTTGTAACACTGTGACCAGTGGATCCCACCACTACATACAGTACTAGGCAAGTTGTAACACTGTGACCAGTGGATCCCACCACTACATACAGTACTAGGCAAGTTGTAACACTGTGACCAGAGGATCCCACCACTACATACAGTACTAGGCAAGTTGTAACACTGTGACCAGTGGATCCCACTACTACATACAGTACTAGGCAAGTTGTAACACTGTGACCAGTGGATCCCACCACTACATACAGTACTAGGCAAGTTGTAACACTGTGACCAGTGGATCCCACCACTACATACAGTACTAGGCATGGTGTAACACTGTGACCAGAGGATCCCACCACCACATACAGTACTATGCATGGTGTAACACTGTTACCACATCACAGGCACCGGGATGCCGGTTAGCTTTGTGAGTAGCATGCTGGACACATAATTCTGTGGCCTCGGTGTGATTCCCGGTGCTGGGGTAAAACAAAAATGGGCAGAGTTTCTTTCACCCTGATGCCCTTGTTACCTAGCAGTAAATAGGTACCTGGGAGTTAGACGGCGGTTACAGGCTGCTTCCTGGGGGGTCTGTGTGTGGAAAAAAAAAATTGGTAGTTAGTAACAGTTGAGTGACAGTTGAGAGGTGGGCCGAAAGAGCAGAGGTCAACCCCCGCAAGTACACTAGATGAATACAACTAGATGAATACCTGTTGGGATGCACAGCCAAAGGGGAGCCAGTCGGCTGAGCGGACAGCACGCGGGACTTGTGATCCTGTGGTCCTTGGTTCGATCCCAGGCGCTGGCGAGAAACAATGGGCATAGTTTCTTTCACCCTATGCTCCTGTTACCTAGCAGTAAAATAGGTACCTGGGTGTTAGTCAGCTGTCACGGGCTGCCTCCTGGGGGTGGAGGCCTGTTCGAGGACCGGGCCGCGGGGACGCTAAAAGCCCCGAAATCATCTCAAGATAACTCAAGATAACTCAAGGTTAAATAACAGCAAATGACCTTATGAGGTAACATGTAGAACACTGGTTCCCAATCATTTTCAGTGTGCAGACCTCTTCTTGGCTTTGAAGTGTTTAGTAGACTACCATGAGTTGCTTTTTTGTATTGACATGAAGTTCACCATACAGTACAGAGAAATTATATAATATTACAGTTTTCTGTGCCTTCTAAGAAAAATTATGCTGTATGGAAAATTTATAGTGTACAATATTGTAAAAAAAATTATAATTTTTGCTTTTCTACAGGCCACTAAGGGGTCTGCAGACTACAAGTTAGGAGCTCATGTTGCAGATGTGTAACAGGTGTTCATTTGGGCTGTGGAAATGATCCTATGGGTCTAAATCTGAATGTTTGTCATTGGAATGCACTTTGCCTGTATATTCACCAACGAACCTGAAAATAAGGACACAAGACATACCTCTGTTGATGGTTTTCTGTATTTGAGCCCGGGAGAAGTGAGCCGTGTTACCAGAGCACTAAAAACTTGTCTCATTCTTGAGTCTCCAACAATTGCCCAAAGCCATCCCCTGGCCCTGCCAGGAGAGCTAAACAATTCACTGGAGATGTTAAAGGATGGCCTGGGCTGAGTTACTAGAGAAGAATCCCCACTAGGATGGTGATGGAAGTGTAACAAGTATTCATTTGGGCTGTGGAAATGATCCTTTATGTCTGTATCTGAATGTTTGTTATTGGAATGCATTTTGCCTGTATCTTCACCAACAAACCTGAAAATATGGATATAAGATAATAATAAGATAATAATGACAAAATAAGAATAGAAAAAGTAAATAAATAGGATAAAATTATAATTGAACATAATATGAATGCAGTAGGTCAAAATGGACACTAGAACAAAGTGAGGATAAATTAACAAAAAAACATATTAATTAATAGAAAAAGAAATCTCTCATGGGGGCATTTTGACCACGTCTAAGCGCACCCACTCCATAATGACCTGACGAAAAGCAGGGAAAGAAGCCTGCCTCGCCAGCCTCGAACCCCCGGAAAGGGGATGAGCCACTCAACGCCACCACAGGCCAGAGGACATGATGGTAAATGCCCACGAATCGTGGGACCAAGTGCAAGCAAACAGAGCCAAAGGGCCGTCGCCTTACGAGAAGCCGGCCAACGAACAGAGCAATCATCGCGCTGACCAGACGATGCCGGCTCCGAAGGCAATGTTGGGTCAAAGGATGACACCAATGGCCCACCTTGACCAGCGGAACCCCGAGGTCATGCCGAGCCCTGGGATGACCATTACAGAGAACAGCCGCCCTGGAGAACCAACAAGTCCGACATAAGACGACAAGAAGACGAAGCTGCCTGCAGAAACTGCATGACAGCAGACTTCGCAAACAGCAACAGACAAAACGGCAACGAAAACCTAAGTTCCAGGGCTGAAGTGGATTCCAATGAGAGAGCGAGCACAGGCTGACCGCATGCGAGGCAAGAAACAAAGAATAGAAACACTGCTTCCTTCAGGATAGGCGCAAACAGCTTCAACCATCGAAGACTCTGTCTTCGATGGTTCCCATATAAAAATTAGCAAATAAAACTCCTAAGGGGGAGCCCATTGCTACTCCGTCTCTTTGTAGATACATGTCTCCTTTTGGACTGATGAAAGGGGCTTCCTTTGTACATGCTTCGAGAAGACTCTTCAAGTCTTCAGTAGCAGACAAAAACCAACTGTATATTGTCGTTATATAGATGACATATTCGTCATAGTAAAAGACTCAGATGAACTAATTGATCTAAAAAGCCATCTAGAGAGAGAGTCAGTACTCCGATTTACACATGAAAATAGTGAAAATAACAGTCTGCCATTCTTGGATGTACTAATAACAAAAACAGGAACCTCTTTAAGCACCAACGTATATACTAAGCCCGCCAACATAGGATTATGCCTGAACGGTAGAAGTGAGTGCCCCCAAAGATACAAAGCCAGTGTTCTCAATGCTTATATTTGTCGAGCGCTTACCCACTGCTCCGAGTGGAGCAACATGAGTACAGAGTTTGAAAGAGTAACTCAGGTATTGGTGAACAACGAATATAGCAACGCGGAAATAAACGCTGCTATAAGAAGGTACTTGGACCGATGGTATAATCCTGAACTTAGAACAGAAACCACAATACTCCAATAAAATTATATTACAAATCAACCATGCACAGTGAACATATAAAAGAGGAAAGAATAATGAAAGAAATAATCAGTAAAGGAGTAAAAAGCATTACTCCTAACCAAAACATAGACCTGATCATATTCTACAAAACCAAGAAGACTTCTGAACTCCTTATCAAAAACAGCCCGAAGCCGTCGGAGAACCCTCTACAGCAGTCAAGCGTTGTGTACATGTACACTTGCCCCAATGAGGGATGTAACCTTCAATCTAAGTACATAGGTATGACGTCGACCAAGCTAATGAGGCATTTGACATGTCATCTTCAATCCGGTGCCCCCAGGAATCACATGAGACAAGCCCATGACATCACCCTAACAAGTGAGATGTTGAACAAAATTACCTGTATAATAGACAAAACCCAAGATGCAAGAAGATTACAAATTCTTGAAGCAATTCACATAAGAATAGAACAACCTGCCATGAACACCCAAATCATGGAACTATTTACTCTACCCACCATGAGAGTAAGGACAAGACCAGAACATAACGATGCCATAATCTTTGGCAGCAATTATTGGGGAATACAAACCTGGATACGCGTATGGAAATGTCAAGACACACAAGCCTGGAAACCCACTTCAGCCAATCATCAGTCAAATACCCACACCCACGTACAGACTGGCGAAGCGACTCAACGGCTTACTGACTCCTTATGTCCCTTGCGCCTTCAGCCTGAAGTCTCCAAAGGAATTTGTTAACTTACTGCGGGGAACACGGGCCACAGGGATAAGAGCCTCGTTGGACGTAGAATCGCTGTTTACCAACGTACCTGTGGATGAAACAATCGGGATGATAGCGGACAGAGTGTATCGTGATCCTGCCTGTACTCCTCTTGACATACCAGAAAACATTCTAAGGAAACTACTCCAAGCTTGTACTAAATAGGCACCCTTCTTGAGCCTGGATGGGCACATGTATAAGCAAGTAGATGGGGTCGCCATGGGTTCTCCCCTAGGTGTCCTGTTTGCGAACTCATACATGGGTACCATCGAACAAAAGGTCTTAGTTGACATGAAATTGAAACCGGCCATATACTGCAGGTATGTTGACGACATTTTTACACAGGTACCTGATATCAGACATCTGCAGGAGCTGAAGGAGGCATTTGAGCGGAATTCTGTGTTGCATTTCACTTACGAGATGGAGAAGGATGGGAAGCTGCCCTTTCTAGATGTAACAGTCATGGAAAGGAGCGGAGGTTTCCACACTGCACTCTACACTAAGGAAACAAACATAGGAATGTGCCTCAATGCCAACAGTGACTGCCCAGACAGGTACAAGAGGAGTGTTAACGCTTATGTCGACCGTGCTCTCAGCCACAGCTCAGGATGGAAGCAAGTCAATGAAGAACTCTGTAGGGTAAGGCAGGTCCTAGTCAACAACGGCTTCTCCAATGGTTTCGTCGAAGACATCATAAGAAGGAAGGTGAAATGCCATGCAACCTCTGAAGAGACAACTAACACAACACCTGTACCCCCTATTAGACTGTTTTACAGGAACTTCTTTTCCACAGCTCATAAACCGAAGGAAAGGGTCCTGAAAGATATTGTTAATAGAAACGTTATCCCTACAGACAAAAATCAGAAGATACAATTGACGATTTACTATAAAACCAAGAAAACGGCCATCCTACTCATGAGAAACTCTCCAGACACAAAGCAGAACGCTTTAAAAGAGACCAATGTCGTCTATGCCTTCAAATGCCCACTTGGGGACTGTAAGCCTCAAAGAACTCGGTATATAGGCAAGACTACAACATCTCTTTCCAGGCGATTAACGATGCATAAGCAACTGGGCTCCATTAAGAAACATATAATCTCTTCCCACAATCAGACCATCACCAGAGAAGTCTTAACAAAAAACACGGAAATCATCGATAGATACAGCGATAGCAGGCGGCTTGATATCTGTGAGGCACTACACATTAAGAAGTCAACACCAGCAATCAACAGTCAATTAATGCACAACTATATTCTACCCACTTCAAGACTCTGCACCAATATAGAAGCATCAAGAAATATGGGCCAATAGGCCCTTTACAGTTACTTCCATTCTTCCTGTTAACCCTTAAAGTGCGCATCACATCATATGACGTGTTGGACGTTGTTCCAGTCAACTGCGCATCACGTCATATGATGTGTTGGAGTTCTACGCAAGATTTAAACGGCCCGCGGATACACGGAGTTCACCACACCTTCATCAGGGCTCTTGTAAACAGACGCCATTTTAAAAAAAAATTGTGGGCCAAACTCCCGGGTGTTATTGGCCACAGTATTGAGTGAGTAACCAAGCCTGATGCATGCAGCATGAGCTAACAGCACTGCTGTTCAGCTTGTGACCACAGCATCGCCTAAAAATGCCAAAATATGCTTGTTCATGCTATTATGTAGCGATAATATTATTACAGAAGACCCCTGACTGTGATAAAACTGACCAGGGTTCTGATAATAGCAGGATTGTGGTGATATTTAGCGCTGTGCACCATGGAGGGAGGAGTAATGCTGTGGGAGGGAGGGTGGTGGCGATGTCTTCTGACTGTGTGTGGCCACCTTTTATTGACTGCACTCAGCATACCAGCTTAGTGGTTTGCTATGGTGAACACAAATGTAGATACTTATATATGACGTGTGTATAGTGTGAGATAACAGCGAGAGTAGGAGGTTGGGAGCCGCCATTTTGGTGAGGGAGGAGTGTCGTCTGCAGGATTTACCATGTTGTTTACTGATGACCACGATGGTCTTTGGGCACCATACCAGTTTACTTGTACAAGTATGGTGAATAAAACAGGTAGATATTCATATATAATGTGTGTATATAGCGTAATAACACCACAAACTCTTTGTGGTTGGCCCGAAACGCTTTGCGTAATAGTGGCTTTAGGCATTGTATGTACTAGCTTTACCTATAAGTCAACCAATCTTTGTAAAAATTTCTTGTATGTATGTACCTTACCTAAATAAACATTTATTTATTATTTACAAACAGTATTGTTGTAGGAGAAATATTAGTGCGTCTGGCCTTGAGGGCGGCAGCCATCAGCTGACTGTGTGAGGTCCTACGTCTTTGTGCCTTTACTCACCATACAAGCTTAGATGTACAGTTATGGTGAACAAAACATGTAAATACTTATATATAACGTCTGTATATAAAAGCAAAAACAGTATGGTGGGTGGAGAATGGTGGCAAGTCAGGTGAGGTGAGGGAGGGAGTGGCAGCCAGTGGAAGCCAGTGGCAGCCAGTCACTGCCTGCCACTGCCACTGCCACTCAGCATACCAACTTAGTGGTTCGTTATGGTGAACAAAACATGCAGATACTTATATATAACCTGTGTATATAGTGTAATAACTGACAAAATATTTGTTCACTGTTTGATGAACATAATTGAATCAACAATATGCACACCATATTTTTGAGTACAGCGATGATTCACTCATTTTATTATATCAATATATCACACTACACACTATTGAATAATATTACAGCAAAAAAACTACGAAAAATCAATCAGAGACATTGAAATAATTAGGTAATTATCTCTTTGTGGAAACTCCGGCCTGACAGTTGGCGATCAACAGACCGCCTGGGGACGCACGCTCAGTCAGCGCCTGATTTTTGCCAGAATTCCCCGCCCTATAGCGGGCAATATATGCCACTTACGACTTTTCATCATTATTTTTCCCGTGATCAGTGAACACAAATTAACAGGTTAGGAAGAAAAAATAATTTTTTTTTTTTTTTTTTTTTTGGTATGCGCCTGTGGGTGTCAAATGGTATATAGCTATGCGCCATTTAAGGGTTAAGCGGTGTATGAGTATTTATTGCTTGTATGTTTGCTTCAGTAAGATTATGCCCAGTGTGTTTAACAACTTCTGCTCAATCAGTTGAATCTTAGTTGAAATCTTATTGGGTTTGTAACTTTGGACTGTGTTAGATAATGTTCCAGTGGTCTGTCAGGCATTTCTCCAAAGTACTGACATTTCCTCTCATTTTCTGGAACCTGTAAGCCTATTTCCCATCTACATGGGTATCCAAGCCTGATGCAATGTAAGTGCACTGCTGTTATTGGACATAGACTGGTCACAGTAGGCCTAATTTGAATGCTATAAGAAATATTAACAATTACAGAGACCCCCTAATGTGATTTCTGAGTCGTGTGTGAAACATTTGGTGTGATTCACCTTAGATTTTATTGACTGTAATATATTTTCTGAGACCCTTACAGTTGTTTCAGTGTTTTTTATTAATACATTTTCTGAGAGAAAGGGGATAGGGGGAAGCATGGGGGGGGGGGAAGCATGGGGAAGGACGAGGGGGTGGATCAAAGGGAGGGGGAGGGGAGGGGGAGTATAACATCATTGTAGAATTTTTTATCCTATTAAGATTAATTTGCCAAAAAATGATTGAACAAAAAAATATTGATTTAGGATAAATAGTTGTCTTTCAGTTAAACACCATTGGGTCTGGCTTAAAAATGATTGGGTGACCATGCATACAGTCTCACCCTTGTCTAAGGTAGTCTTGGTAGGCTTTAACAGGTTTTGTGTCCTTGACAGGTAAAAACAAGTATTAAACCAATTAAAATGATATAGGACCAAATAGGTTAAATTTGATAAAATATGGATAAATGGGATGAAATACCTGACAAAATGCAGTAAATATAAATAGGACAAAATAAATATAAATTGACTAAATCAGAGTAAAAATGGATGTAATAAATGTGTGACAAAATAAGAATCAATAAAAAATTCCTTAGGATTATTAGCACTTGAGAATAGAGATTGAAATGAGTGTAAAAGCTTGTTGTAATGACTTGTTGCGTCAATGTGGGACCTTGACCTGTAACCCAAACACTTCTGAAACATTGTCTCTTCTCCATGTATCAAGTACACAGTATTAAATGACAACAAAAGGGTTTTGGGAATGAACCAAAGTTCAGACATGTTAAAGTTTAGGTTAATTTGCCAAATTGTTGCATGTCATTGGGAATCACATTATCTATATTATTAAAGTCTTGATATTATTGTAAAAACTGCAATAGTATACTGTACCGTTTAGGACGAGTCAGTTTTTCAGCTGCTGTTTGAATACAGGTGAGAATGTCCTTTTTGCTGTAGTTATGGAGGCGACAGCAGGTGTTGCGAAGGATATTGGTGTGTCTTGTGTGATTGTAGTCATAGCAGGCTTGGTTTAATGCTGAATGTTGCACGTGTTCTCGTGTGAAGATGATGACATGAGTAGTGATAAGGACCCAGGTGAGCAGCAGGCCGTACCACAGCTGATGCCCACTCCATCCACCTCCTTGCCCATGCCACCACAGCCATGCTTTTTTGAATGTGTATCCCATGCTGTGCTCTGATTCTCACTCTCCATCCAAACAACTTGTTGCCTGTATTCTGTCATGTAAACATGCATTTTTGTATTGTGTAGTTCATAAAAAATAAGACATTAAGTGAATATAAAATGGCATTTTTCAAAGCTACTCTCTAAGGTGAGATATAATATTTCCACAGAACAGAATTGTACAGTCATGCAGAACAATATTTTGGCATCAGTGTGACAGGAAACTTATCTTGCTTGGCATGACGGGTGACCGTCTAGAGAGGGCTCTGCTAACCAGCAATTGCCCTGCTTGGCTATCTGCACTGGCCACCACTGGTTAGCATGAAAACATACTCTTGTGTTCTCTGACCCCCAAGGGCATGGTCAGAGACCACGCCTCGGCGACATTGACTGCCTGGAACCAGCAAGAGGTAAACAACAGGCAGACCCTTGTCCCACTCCACATGGGCTTGAATACTAGACCAAGCAAGCCATAAGATCTGATAAAGGCAATTGCCATTGTAAGGCTTAAGCTATGGAAGCAAGCCTTCAAGATAACTTAAACTTATATATCTAAGTTTCTTTGCACATTCTAGATGAGAATCTCCTCCACGTGAACTCCATACAGTTGCTCATGTACCCCTTGAGCCATGCCATATGTTGAGATCACAATGAGGTTTTGAACACTTAGTGCTAGTATTTATGAATCTTGTCTAGATCTTACCTGGAGGGGTTGGAGCCTGGCCTTGTGATAATTTGGTCTAACAGGCTGTTACATGGAACGGCTCGCAGGCCCACATATCCACTACAGCCCACATGGTTCGGCACTTATAGCAAGAATTTACCTAATTGGTTCTTGAAGAAGTCCACCTTGGTTCCGGCAATGTTTGTAATGCTTGATGGGAGGGTGTTGAACAGCTCTGGACCTCTGATGGACCTCAGACAGTGCTCTTTGGCTGGATACTCCCTCTAATCCTGCTCAGCATCCATTCAGCAACCATGGAAGGCAGTGGATTGTCAACAGCAGACCTGGATTATGGGTCCAACCTGTGGCTGCCAGGTGAATTCCTAGCTCTAACACTCCTTGTGATACCCCCAGGCCCCACTTTTGTACAAAAACTATGAACAGCTATGGCAGGCATAAGCTCCATACCACCATGCCAGCCAACACCATGTGCTACATATGTGCCCATGACCTGCACAGCTGACAACGTGTTTGTTCAAATCTTCAGTCATGCTAGGAGGGGCCGTTTAAAGTGATTTCCAGCACACCAAAGTTCTTCACCATAAAACACAGAGGCAAACAGGTAAATGTCTCCATTGATCACCTGAAAACAGCACGCCGTAACACTGCCCCAGATATTCCAACAGAAATAATGGCAATGATATTGTGAGGGGTCGACCAGGCCTCCTCGACCAGGAGCCCTGGTCGAGGACCAGGCCGCATGGACCTTGAGCCCCGAAATCATCGCAAGGTAATGATGTGCACGTTTCAATCACTGTTTCCAATAGAACCACCTCTTGAACCTACGACTACAGACGGTCCAGCAAGACCTCCCACCCCACAACCCCCAGTTAGATGACACTAGTGAAGAGAAAATCAACTGCGAGGGTTTCACTACATGATAGGTCACTGACCAGCTAGATTCCTTCATCTAGTATCTTTCTGACTGCCAGAGAAGTGGAGTACTGTAGCTAGCCTGGCTCCTGTATTCAAGCCTGGCCCCCAGTAGTCAAGCCTGGCTCCTGTAGTCAAGCCTGGCTACTGTAGTCAAGCCTGGCTCCTGTAGTCAAGCCTGGCTACTGTAGTCAAGCCTGGCTCCTGTAGTCAAGCCTGGCTCCTGTAGTCAAGCCTGACTCCTGTAGTCAAGCCTGGCCCCCAGTAGTCAAGCCTGGCTCCTGTAGTCAAGCCTGGCTCCTGTAGTCAAGCCTGGCTCCTGTAGTCAAGCCTGGCCCTTGTAGTCAAACCTGGCCCCTGTAGTCAAGCCTGGCTCCTGTAGTCAAGCCTGGCTCCTGTAGTCAAGCCTGGCTCCTGTAGTCAAGCCTGACTCCTGTAGTCAAGCCTGGCCCCCAGTAGTCAAGCCTGGCTCCTGTAGTCAAGCCTGGCTCCTGTAGTCAAGCCTGGCTCCTGTAGTCAAGCCTGGCCCCTGTAGTCAAGCCTGGCTCCTGTAGTCAAGCCTGGCTCCTGTAGTCAAGCCTGGCTCCTGTAGTCAAGCCTGGCTCCTGTAGTCAAGCCTGGCCCCTGTAGTCAAGCCTGGCCCCCAGTAGTCAAGCCTGGCTCCTGTAGTCAAGCCTGGCTCCTGTAGTCAAGCCTGGCTCCTGTAGTCAAGCCTGACTCCTGTAGTCAAGCCTGGCCCCCAGTAGTCAAGCCTGGCTCCTGTAGTCAAGCCTGGCTCCTGTAGTCAAGCCTGGCCCTTGTAGTCAAGCCTGGCCCCTCTAGTCAAGCCTGGCTCCTGTAGTCAAGCCTGGCTCCTGTAGTCAAGCCTGGCCCCTGTAGTCAAGCCTGGCCCCTGTAGTCAAGCCTGGCCCTTGTAGTCAAGCCTGGCCCCTGTAGTCAAGCCTGGCCCCTGTAGTCAAGCCTGGCCCCTGAAGTCAAGCCTGGCCCCTGTAGTCAAGCCTGGCTCCTGTAGTCAAGCCTGGCTCCTGTAGTCAAGCCTGGCCCCAGTAGTCAAGCCTGGCTCCTGTAGTCAAGCCTGGCTCCTGTAGTCAAGCCTGGCCCCTGTAGTCAAGCCTGGCTCCTGTAGTCAAGCCTGGCCCCTGTAGTCAAGCCTGGCTCCTGTAGTCAAGCCTGGCTCCTGTAGTCAAGCCTGGCCCCTGTAGTCAAGCCTGGCTCCTGTAGTCAAGCCTGGCTCCTGTAGTCAAGCCTGGCTCCTGTAGTCAAGCCTGGCTCCTGTAGTCAAGCCTGGCCCCTGTAGTCAAGCCTGGCCCCTGTAGTCAAGCCTGGCCTCTGTAGTCAAGCCTGGCCCCTGTAGTCAAGCCTGGCCTCTGTAGTCAAGCCTGGCCCCTGTAGTCAAGCCTGGCTCCTGTAGTCAAGCCTGGCTCCTGTAGTCAAGCCTGGCCCCTGTAGTCAGCTTCTTTATGAATGACATTCAAGCTGCAGATAATATAACGGATATTACCACAAACTCGGAAGACTTTGAAAGAGAAATTGATAATATGCCTATGCACTCAGCTCCTGGGCCTGACTCATGGAATTCAATATTCATAAAGAAATGTAAAGTACCAGTAGCGAGAGCACTCAGCGTAATATGGAGAAAGAGCCTGGATACAGGGGAGATACCAGCAGCACTTAAATCTGCAGATATAGCTCCGTTGCACAAGGGGGGGAGTAAAGCCTTGGCAAAAAATTATAGGCCAGTTGCACTAACATCACACATAATAAAAGTGTTTGAAAGAGTGATTAGGAATCAAATTTCTAGTTTTATGGAAAACAATGAATTGCACAATCCAGGACAACATGGATTTAGAGCGGGAAGATCCTGTCTGTCACAGTTACTCAACCACTATGACAAAATCACAGAAGCCCTAGAAGAAAAGCAAAATGCAGATGTTGTATACACAGACTTTGCAAAGGCGTTCGACAAATGTGACCATGGGGTGATAGCTCACAAAATGAGGTCAATGGGAATAACGGGAAAAGTAGGACGCTGGATACTCAATTTCCTGTCGAACAGAACACAAAGAGTAACAGTCAATCGGATAAAATCGAGTCCAAGCGATGTTAAAAGCTCTGTACCTCAAGTACAGTCCTTGCACCGCTACTGTTCCTTATTCTCATATCTGATATAGACAAAAATACACGCCACAGCTTCGTGTCGTCCTTTGCAGATGACACAAAAATCAGCATGAAAATTACCTCTGCTGAAGACATTGAAAAACTACAAGCAGATGTCAACAAAGTTTTTGATTGGGCAGCAGAAAATAACATGATGTTTAACAGTGATAAATTTCAGGTACTCAGGTACGGCAAAAATGAGGATCTGAAACATAATACAGGGTACAAAACACAATCGAATCTTCCCATAGTAGGAAAACAGCATGTCAAGGATTTGGGAATAATGATGTCCGACGATCTAACGTTTAGGGAGCATAACCAAGCAAATATCGCGTCAGCCAGAAAAATGATCGGATGGATTACGAGAACTTTCAAATCCAGGGATCCCATCACAATGGTTGTACTCTTCAAGTCACTTGTGCTGTCCCGTCTCGAGTACTGCTCAGTACTCACTTCCCCCTTCAGAGCAGGAGAGATTGCTGAAATAGAGGGAATACAGAGAACATATACGGCACGCATAGACGAGATAAAACACCTAAATTATTGGGATCGTCTCAAAGCTCTCCAAATGTACTCTCTAGAAAGGAGACGAGAGAGATACCAAATAATATACACCTGGAAAATACTGGAGGGTCAGGTCCCAAATCTACACAGTAAAATAACAACGTACTGGAGTGAACGATATGGAAGAAAATGCAAGATTGAACCTGTGAAGAGCAGAGGTGCCATAGGCACAATCAGAGAGCACTGTATAAACATCAGGGGTCCGCGGTTGTTCAACGTCCTCCCAGCGAGCATAAGAAATATTGCCGGAACAACCGTGGACATCTTCAAGAGAAAACTGGACGGTTTTCTAAGAGAAGTTCCGGATCAGCCGGGCTGTGGTGGGTACGTGGCCCTGCGGGCCGCTCCAAGCAACAGCCTGGTGGACCAAACTCTCACAAGTCGAGCCTGGCCTCGGGCCGGGCTTGGGGAGTAGAAGAACTCCCAGAACCCCATCAACCAGGTATCAACCAGTCAAGCCTGGCCCCTGTAGTCAAGCCTGGCTCCTGTAGTCAAGCCTGGCCCCTGTAGTCAAGCCTGGCCCCTGTAGTCAAGCCTGGCTCCTGTAGTCAAGCCTGGCCCCTGTAGTCAAGCCTGGCTCCTGTAGTCAAGTTTAGTCCCTGTAGTCAAGCCTGGCCCCTGTAGTCAAGTTTAGTCCCTGTAGTCAAGCCTGGCTCCTGTGGTCAAGCCTGGCCCCTGTAGTCAAGCCTGGCTCCTGTAGTCAAGCCTGGCTCGTGTGGTCAAGCCTGGCCCCTG